AACTCTAGAAATTTAATTTCTCTTCTTGAGTGCAATAGCACACAATTGATCTTTCTTCACCATATTTAAACAAACTTTTTGGTCCATATTGAGGGTACTATACCACCTTAAACCATGCCTTGCGTGATTCGCAGAACGTGTGCGCACAAACAAAAGTAGGCACCGTCCTTAAATAATTGCGTTAATTCAATCGACGATTCGATTTTATGATTAAATATGAAAGCAACATTAGATTAATGAAAGCATTTATATCTTTTTGACTGTAGATGGACTATCAGGCTTACTGACCAATCAGCTTCCTTGTCCTGGAAATAGCCCATTACCCCATATCTGGTCTCTCTTATTGCGCTTCGCGTCACAGTCACGCAACGCTCCCCGTTCCACGCGCGTGATGACGGGAAGCTTCGCGTGACTTCGGATCGAGTAGATTAGAAAGAAAAAGGACATATTTGTTGTCTTTTGCGTTCAAACATCTCATTATTTCAATTATTCTACTTATGTTATGGCCATTTTCTTTTCCTAAACATCCACCTTCGGAAAACATCTCCACAGGGGGCGGGTGTCAAAATTTTGGTTGCCCGTAATGATTCATGGGATTGCACACGGAAGTAACTGAGATTTATCAAGGTATATTTTCTATTACTGAAATATTTCCCACAATATAACCCTGATTGGTTACAAGAAATGGTTAAAAGTTGCTTCTGTCAGCAGTTTTGAAGTTGTTGCCTTGGAAACGCAAGCTGAAAGCGCGGATACCAAGCAACCAGTTGACCCATAATACCGTTCGGCATGAGTTTCGAGAACTCCTCCAAGTTGACCGGGGAAAATTCCTTCCAACAAATGTGGCAATTTTCTTCATGATTCTCCAGATGTAGGACAATTTTGCGCTTCTGATTCGACTTCTCTAGCTGTTCTTTTATTTTGGGATCACCATGAGTAAGTATCACTTTCCTTGAGGTCTCCCACTCAAATCTTTGTGTTATTTTTGTGGGCTGAATGGTGGTCGTATCTGTTGATAGGTCGACAAGCTCGCGTTACTTTTAGCTACAAGCCTGAGCAAGACGACGAACTCACGTTAGAAGTTGGAGACATCATCAAAAATATAGTAGATGTGGATGTTGGCTGGTGCGAGGGAGAACTAAACGGGAAAAAGGGAATGTTTCCAAACAATTTTGTCGAAATGATTCCTGCTAGTGAGGAAGTGGTCGCTCCACAACCCTCCACAACCTCGGCCTCTAGCACAGGTTAGATCATTAGTTTTGTGCACTTATTAAATCAAGAATTCTTTAACCATAAATCAGTTTCGTTTGAGCTTAAGATATATGGGAAGCTGAGACTTCAGTTACAGACCTTTCCACAGAAATCGTACTGCATATGGATATTATTTACCCTGTGTATGTTTTGAATCGATTTCACTGTACAATTTAATTAGCTGAATAGTTTACACTTGAGAGGTTAGACTTAGCAGATTCGAAATCATTCTTTGTTTTCCTGTGCTTTTTAAAATTCATTTCGGAATACGTGTATTAACAACCTCTTTTAATGTTTTTCCCTCAACGCCATTGTTTCGTTGAGATTTCGAACCTTACGTCAGTTCCAATTAAAGTAGTTCAGACTTAGCTTCCTGTTTTGTGCTGAGGTTGTTGAAGCTTGTCTTTACTTGAGAAAATTCTAGGAATGTTTCAGACTCTAACATACATGTAAGCTATCAGAGACCTGTTCAAATATTTTGATTTCAACATGGAGTTTGATGTACCTTGTACACTTTGTACAAGACAAAAAGTGGCCCTAAATTTTTATATTTTTTTGCCATTTTGTATAAATTTGAATGTCTAATTAAAATGGGTGCATTGAGTGTTTTAAGCAGCAGCCATTGGTTCACACTAGAGTGGTAGATGTGAAAGAAAACCCTTGAAAAGTTCTGTGATGTGTAGTGCTCATAATTTTTCCTGTTTTAAATGACTTAAGCACTGTCAACTCGAAAGAAGATTCCTTTTGGTGATCAGTTCAAGATGTCAATATTTGTTCCCACAACAGACAACTCCTTAAGTATTCATCAGATTGCTTTGTTTCCCTTGCTTCATCATGAAACCTTTGTGGCCCTTTACAGGGATTGTTATGTGAAAGTATCAAAACATCACATTGTAGTTTACACCATATGGTGTCACATGATTCCACCTGATTGTAAATTTGCACCCAACATCTTCACTGTACCCAGCTGATAACATATTAACTCCAACTGACATTTTTTGTCTATATCACCCCTTTTCTATGGTATAGGTGTATTTTGTTACTTGAGTCTTTTTCTGTCAGGTGTAATTTATATATTTTTATTTTTTAATTTCCAGTTACAGTGGTACTGTATCTATTTGGTATGTTATCGCTAACTTCAGGGTTTAAATTAATGTCTTTGCTGGCTCGGAGAATTACTTTATTTCATCCAAACATAAATATATATTGAATCCTCCTCACAATGAGACTGCAACCAGTCTTCGTTTTCGGTGACAACAACTTAAGGCAATATTTGCCTTAAGATGTTGTCATAGGAAAAGAAGACTGGACTAATTTCAGGTAAATTATGTACCTGAAATATTTATAAGGTGAGTGGTGAAACCACTATCCATGCCAAAATGAATGAATACATGCCAAAAGCAGGGAAAACTGTCAGTGACTTTGGAGTAAAGTCATATACATTCAAATTCATTCTTGCTTTTGTAAGGAGCCCTAGTTCAGATTAGTTCAGATAGATTTAACCTGCCCTCTGTTACCAATTCTGATTTGGAAACACTACAGGTGTTCAAGCCAGTTCCAGTTAAAATACTAAGATACATGTGTTAAATGCCTCTTTAGTAAAAGTAGAGCAGTATCTTTTTGTTGAGATAATGCACCAAGTAATTTAAAGCAGCAGATTGAGCAGGGAGCATTTAGCCTATGAACTGCCAGAAGTGAAGGCAAATTTATTATTCTTGTGTATTATTTCCATGCATATTATTCTCTATGTTTGGCTGTCTCCAACTCCCAAGAATGAAATGCAATTTTGTTTACAGGAAGAACACTTACACTACTTACAATACTAATATTATACTTACAAACAACAACAACAACAAAAAATCCCAAGAATGGGTCACCTACAAAATACACATTACTGGAAATTTTGAGTTATCCCTGTTTAAAGGTGCACTTATAATGACTGTAGTATTTATTGTTAACAACAGTTTCAGGAAAGAAGGCCAAAGTGACATTTGACTATGAAGCCCACGATGATGATGAACTCACATTACATGTGGGTGATGTGATTGATGTTATATGTGAAGTGGAAGATGGTTGGTGGCGTGGCAATTTAAATGGCGTGATTGGTCTCTTGCCGTCCAATTTTGTGGAACTTATTGATGAAAAAGATGTTGCCCAAGCCAAGGACAAATATGTTGAAATACAAAGTAAATGTTTTTGAAGCTTTGTACATGTCCTGTGTAATTAACATTAAGGAAAGTTTGTTTCTTAGAGCTAGGCATAGTTTCTAAAGGAACATATCTGTCTGGTGAACAACAGCTATTGATTGCAACTCTTTTTGCTTTATGTTTTGTTTGAATTTCTGTCTTTTTAGAGGAAGTTGTACCACCAGAAAAAGAGGAGTCTGGGAGTGAGGACAGAGCTGGAACAGCAGATGATGATGACACTGGACTGAACAAAAGACATTCTAGCATAGGGAAGACAAAAAACCTGTTTGGAGGCGGGATGGGATTTGGAAACCTGATCAATCCTAATATTCTCGCTGAGAAGAAGCTCAAGAAAGTCCACCATGATGAAAAGAAGGATAAATCTGAGGAAAAGAATGTTCATACTGATGTAGGGAAGAGTGAAGAGACAGGAAAAACAAAAACACCTTTGGTAAGGCAACATTTTCCAAGTTGACACTGGACAATACGAAAAAGAATTTTCATGAAGCTAAAAAACAGTTCATGAATAACAAACGTGCCAAGATACATAGTAAAAGCTCAAAAACATCCACAATGATGACAATAGAAGGACTGGTGAAAATAAAAAGAGAAATTAGTCAGATTGCTACGATATTTTTGCTAACATTGATTTGCAAGCGCGTGATTTTATGGCAGTGTGAGCGTTTGAAAAATCTTATGGGATTTGTTTGTGGATGGCGAAGCTTGAAAAGTAGAAATCTTCTTAATTTTAAAATTGGCAATCTTACTTTAGAATTACATCATGCTATTTTCAATTTGTCATACATTTTGTACTGCTATAAATTTTTTCCTGTCATTGACAAGGTCTTACATATGCCAGTGATAATACAACTCTAACATCTGTTTTTGGAATTGGCCAAGGGGCTGTGAGTGGAGCGGTTGTCAATTGAGTATTGAAAGTAATCAGGTGATTACCTTGGTTTTGGTTTTACTGTGGTTTGAGATTGGCTGATTGCATGTAGTCTTACTGTGCTAATGTATCAATAGATAAAAAAAAATTCTCAGTGTACCATGGTATGAGTCATGTGGAACAAGATGTCACAATGTATGTTTGTTTAGCAGAGAACATGTCCAGTTAGTTAAAGAAGCAGGAACATTAAGTACTGGCTGATTGAATTGCAAGATGATATTTTATTTTTCGTTAACTAGAGTGCCAAGTCAAGACCAGCACCTCCTGTTCCATCTAGTCCTCCAATCGTTCAAGCAGGTGTGTAAATGAAAGTTATGTAACTAATTTATTGTCAACAAATAGAGCCCGTGTTTTCACGAGAGATGTTTACCTTGGTTTTGTTTTAACTTTACTGAAGTGAATCTTTTAATCGTGTAAACACAGTAGCAAACCTCGGTAAATGGCGGCAAAATCAAAAGTAAGCCAACCTAGGTTTATTGACAGTTGAACGCCTCATCAGGCATGGTTTAGCTTGGTAACTGACGGTAACCGAGGAAAAGCAGACGTTGTCGCGACATCTTGGCAGCAAGTATTCATGCGTTTAGCCCGTAAAGAAGAGAAAAATAGACAAAGATTCCTCCTAATAAAAGTAGGTTTCAAGTCAACGGGCAAAAAAGCTAAATTAACTCATGTTTAGCCAAAGAAATCCTGGACTGCTGTTTCCCTTTCATCGTCAAGTGCTGTAAGCGTTTCGTTTCTGTTAGAAGCTCTGTAGCTTTATAGTAGCAGTGTACAAGCAGGTGCAACTAGAAGAAGACCTACCACAAAGAGAGAGAAAAAAAATCATAAGTGAGGTCTAGGGAGAAGAAAAGCAAATGTTAAAATTTGAAGTGGCCCCGAATAAGAAGAAGTAACTGTAAACATTTACGTAGCCCGGTCTCCACAGGAGATGCCGTTTCAGGTTTTTTGCGGGAAGAGGCTCAGCGAGATATCAAATTTTCTTTCCACTATTCATGCATCTACAAAGCTTTACATTTAAGGAGAGTTTGGCTCAACATCACCGCCTGCAAATTGACAGTGACCTGCATTCGGCATTGGAGTAAAGTCAGAAATTTTATAATTTTCCAATAGTTTCTGTGCAACATTCCAACACTTGCTTTCCAAGAAAACCTTGAACTGTCCATTGTATGCGGCCTACTTTAGTTAATTAGTTCCGTGTAAACAGCTTCTCTAATAACTGCGGTTTAGTTACGAAATCTCGGTAAGCAGTAACCGTAGTAAACCTCTCTGGTGAAAACACGGCAAGAGCCAGCCATATGGTCTGTGTCTCAAGTGAACAGTGGTGATGGGATTGTATACAAATTTGCTGGCTTCAGGTGTTTATTATTATTATTATTATTATTATTATTATTATTATTATTATTTTACAACAGTACTGCAACTACTAATTATAGAAGTGATAACTATTCACAACAGTAAATTATACAACTGCTAACACTACTCTAATTGACAATACAATGCAATTACACATGCTACTTACAATACTAAAATTTGCATAACTCACTCTATAAAATAGTACATTTACCCTTTTTAAGTTACGATACTAATACCATTACTGATGCTTCTTGCATTCATGTTATAACAATAGTAGTAAAACACTAATAACTGANAAATAGACAAAGATTCCTCCTAATAAAAGTAGGTTTCAAGTCAACGGGCAAAAAAGCTAAATTAACTCATGTTTAGCCAAAGAAATCCTGGACTGCTGTTTCCCTTTCATCGTCAAGTGCCGTAAGCGTTTTCGTTTCTGTTAGAAGTTCTGTAGCTTTATAGTAGCAGTGTACAAGCAGGTGCAACTAGAAGAAGACCTACCACGAAGAGAGAGAAAAAAAATCATGTGAGGTCTAGGGAGAAGAAAAGCAAATGTTAAAATTTAAAGCGGCCCCGAATAAGAAGTAGTACCTGTAACCATTTACATAGCCTGGTCTCCGCAGCAGATGCCATTTCAGGTTTTTTGTGGGAAGAGGCTCAGCGAGATATCAAATTTACTTTCCACTATTCATGCATCTACAAAGCTTTACATTTAAGGAGAGTTTGACTCAACATCACCGCCTGCAAATTGACAATGCCCTCCATTCGGCATCAGAGTAAAGTCAGAAATTCTATAATTTTTCAATAGTTTCTGTGCAACATTGCAACACTTGATTTCTGAGAAAACCTCGAACCATCCGTTGTATGTGGCCTACTTTAGTTAATTAGTTCCGTGTAAACAGCTTCTCTAATAACTGCGGTTTAGTTACAAAACCTCGGTAAGCAGTAACCATAGTAAACCTCTCTAGTGAAAACACGGCAAGAGTCAGCCATATGGTCTGTACCTCAAGTGAGCAGTGGTGATGGGATTGTATACAAATTTGCTGGCTTCAGGTGTTTTATTATTATTATTATTATTATTATTATTATTATTATTATTATTATTATTATTATTATTTTACAACAATACTGCAACTACTAATTATAGAAGTGATAACTATTTACAACAGTAATACAACTGCTAACACTACCCTAATTGACAATACAATGCAATTACACATGCTACTTACAATACTAAAATTTGCATAACTTACTCTATAAAATAGTACATTTACCCTTTTTAAGTTATGATACTAATACCATTACTGATGCTTCTTGCATTCATGTTATAACAATAGTAGTAAAACACTAATAACTGA